ATATATATATATATATATATATATATATATATATAGTTGGAAAAGTCATGACACATTTTTACATAGAAAAATGTAGAAACCTCATGACTTTCCCAACAATCAAATATATATATATGTGTGTGTGTGTGTGTGTATGTGTGTGTGTGTGTGTGTGTGTGTATATATATATATATATATGTATATGTATATATATAGTGTATGTGTGTGTGTGTGTGTGTGTGTGTGCGCGCATATGTTCGTGTATATATATATTTTAGTTTGCTGTAAGGCATGTGTACTCACCAGAGAGAGACATGGAGAGAGAAAGAGGGAAGGCAAAAGTGAGAAATCACTCCCTGGGGTGATGGCCATGCCACAGTCCCTTCTCTTCCTTTTTCCTCTTGGGACTTTGTGCATGCATGCACACCTGCCCAGCATAATTTTCAAGTTGCAGGGGTGAGACTTGAACCGCACAGGTGACCATGTGGAATCCTTAACCTCCATACCGTCTGCTGGTTCCTTTATTTCATATTTTTATTCTATATGCCTTATCTCTAGATAGCTTTTTCTCTCATTACAAAACCCGCTCTTGGCCTTTTCATAATTACATGTTTAATAAGTGCATTTTGTTTATGAAGTTGTAAGCAAAAAAGGGTTAACTTCAGGAATGGGTAGTTAAGGAATTTGTTGCTGTGACCTAATAGTAGAGCCAATAGTATCAGTCAGTATTTACTGATTCATTAACTTCGTGCATGTTCCTGAATTTAGCTTGCTTTTCTGCATAGTATATAAAACATTGTCTTTTATTTTTCTCATGTAGTGTTCTTCTGATAAAGGTTATTTTCTATGTATTATGTTTGAAAGCTGTGTATGTAATTTTAAAGGAAATTTGCATCAATTGATGAGGGAAGTGCAAAACAATCTTTTATGTCAGCAAACACATTGCCAGTCTCCCACCCAAGGAGATAATATTAGATTGTCAGAAAAATGTCAGGATGCATTTTTGCATAGAAAAACATATAAAAAAAAAACATCAGGACTTTTCTGACAACCCTGTAGTTTTCTCTGGTAGATCAAAGTGATTTTTGGTGTTCACCAGGTCACACAGACACCTTTGTTGTTTTCCTCTGACACTATCATTGTTGATATCAGCAAAACAAAATTATTTATATAAAAAAGTGGCTGTGTGGAATGGCATAGTTATTTTTTATTTCTGAGCCTTTAGATTATAGGACCTGAGTAACCTATACATATTTGTTTACTAAGAAACTAATACTTATTTTCTGCCATCTAGCTAGCTTTAATAGAAGGTGATTCAGAGGGAAGTGAAAAATTCTTCTTGATTTTAAAGCTATCAGTAGCAAATACAAATATATGAGACTTTTTGAATTTACTTTAAATCTCACTTCAGGTCAGCTTAGTAAATATTTGACTAAGGACTATGTATTGTGCTAGATGCAGGACATTTCAATACTTATAAATTGTGGTCCATTTTTAATTCTCTGCCCTTAGAAAAATGTTGGGGGATGGCTAATCAAAATACTTCACTATAGTATATTTTGAAAGTTAAATTACTTTTATGTTTAACTCAAAAACAATTTGTTTACATTTTTTTGTTTTCTTTTTGAAACTCTTATGGAAAATATAGCTAAAATATATTATTACGTGTTTTTACTTTCCTAAGAAGACTAAATTTATTCTTTAATGCCCTGCTTCAAGATAATAGTTAACTAAAAGCATTATTATCTAATATTCTAAAGATACAGAAATTACAGGTATAGATTGATCTAAATATATTTGCCATAAGGTACTGCCCTGAGAATGTTATTTTTAGATTTATATTGTTGGAAAATATTGTTTCTTTTCAAAATATGATATAGAAAAATAGGCCTAGTTAACTGAGGGATTTATTAAAGATACTATAAAATTATTAACAAACTGTACATAAAACCTTTAAAAATATTTTTGCTATATTTTAAAGCATCAGTAGTTAAAACTATTCTAGTTATAAGTTCAATTACATCTGTGTTTCAATATTATTTCAATTTAGAATTATTGGAAGAATTCAGTCCAGTTGTTGAGAGACTTGGATTTGATGAAAATTTTGTGGACCTAACAGAAATGGTAGAGAAGAGACTACAGCAGCTTCAAAGTGATGAACTTCCTACAATGACTGTGTCGGGTCATGTATACAATAATCAGTGTGAGTGTGTTATTCATTCTGTTCAGTAAAAACTAAAGTACATACATTTCATAGTGTTCAGGGAGCTTTTATGTTATTCTGAAAGATTGTGATGTTTGTTGGAGGTAAATCCATATTTAGTCAGTAATCTATGTAAGATAATAACTAAAATCAGATGTTACTGTTTATGTTAAGTATGGAGAAAATAAGCTTTCAATGGTGTGTAGCTCGTTGCTCTGAGAATTTTTCATTTCTCAGACTCATTGCATCTGTTCCATTCCTAAAAACTAATACCTCTTTAGGTTATTCTTAAGTTACAGGACTTTGTTTGTTAATATACTCTTTTGGAATAATTTTTGATTCTCCAAAAAACTAACTAAGCGAAATTTTGAGGCCGGCTAAGTTTGCATCGATTTGTCTTTTTCCTTCTCTTCCCTTGAGGCATTGAGACCCTCAGGGTGCTCTCTAACTTCCCTGTGGAATATACTACCTATGGAATACTGTACAGGCCTATCTGCCATGTGTTAGTACCTTCTCCAAGCTCCTATTTAATCAGTTCAAATAATCTTTACTAACTTTAGCAAGAAAACAGAATGATTCATCTCCTTTAAATAGTAAGATGGGAGTGACCGGTGGTTTCCAGGGGTATCTGCATTTGAAAATAAGCTGTAGTAACTGCCAGTTATATCTGATCAAGCTTTCAGACATCTTTGAGGCTGATGGTGACTCCTTTATCATACTAAATTGAAGGTAGACTACTCTGGTTTTGTAGTCTTTCCACACATTCTTATTCCTAGATTTTAGCATATGCTTCCTCTTATACCCACTTTTTAAAGAGATAGCCATCAGCTTTCAGTGTTTTATACACACACACACACAGAGAGAGAGAGAGAGAGAGAGAGAGAGAGAGAGGAGAGTACAGCTTTTAGAAAGAAACATGAAGATTTTTATGTGTCTTTTTGTATTTGTGATCTTTTGTCACTTAGAACAGCTAGCTAAAAAGTTTCAAATATGTTTCTATATAATTTTTAAAGCAAAGTCAGACCTTATTGGTTAGACTGTATTACAGAGAGCTTGGTATCTCTGCAAAAGAAAATATCTAGTTTTTATTTTTTCTCCTCTACACAAGATATTATTAATTTTATCAAACCTGTAGGAAAATTGACAAAATAGTACAGTGAACAGCCATCATGTTCTTTCTTGTAGATAAACCATTTATATTTTGCCACATGCGCTTATCTTGGCTTATGTGGATTGATTGATACCAGTAAGCCATTTGGAACTAAATTGCAGACATCTTTTTTTTTAATTATTTATTTTATTTATTCATTTATTTTAATTTGACTAGAAAGAAATAGACACAGAGAGAGGGGGAAAGCAAGAAAACAAGCCACCATGTCCAGTACTCGAACTATGTTTGGCCATGTGGGAATGTCCAGCTCAACCACCATGCTACCTGCTGGCCCCAACATCATTACATTTCATCTCTGAATATTTCTAGCATGAGTCTCCTGAGGATAAGGATGGTCTTGTATAACTCCAATACAGTTTCACATCTAAGAAAATTTGTTTCTTGGGACCAGCAGATGGCATAGCGGTTATGTTGCTGGACTCCTACATTACCAACTGTGGTTCTAGTCCTGGACCCGGAGGCTTGAAACATGACAGGCACATGTGCTTGTGTGTCCAAGATCCCAAGAGGAAAATGGAGGAGAAGGGATTGCGGTGTGGCTATCCTCCATGGGGGCAGTGATATTTTGCTTTATGTCTCTCTCTCTCTCTCTGTCTCTCTGGCAAGTGTACATGCCCTATACCAAAACAATCTCTCTTAAAACAAAAAAGCAAAACAACAAAAAAAAGAGAAAATTTGTTTTTATATCATTGCCTCCTACATTTTATAAAAGATCTTTTCAACTGTGATGGATCAGAAATTATTTTCACCAGCATGTAGAACTAGTGAGTAAAGCTTAGATTTAGATTTTTAAATCTTTTTTATTATGTAATAATACTTTCATGCTTACTATCAGTGAATGTGAGTAAACGTTTTACTAAGTGTAAGTAAGTATGTTTTATGAGATCAATTTTCATAAAATCATTAAGCACTCTCAGAATACATTTATTATCAGAACTCTTTAGAATTAACTTATTGTATTTATTTACTTTATAGTATTTCTGTGAAGAACAAAAGAGATTAGTCCAGTGGATAGAAGGGTGGGCAGGGGTCATGGTAGTTGTGGTTGTGTTTGTATATAGACTAAGTCTTATGTATTTTAGGGACATTTGTGTAACAAAATTTAAAAAAAAGTATTCTGTTAAAATTTATTCTATTTTAATAACATTGGCTATTTTTATAGATATAAACCTACATGACATATTACACATCAGACTGCTTATTGGATCTCATATTGCAGCTGAGATGCGAGAAGCCATGTACAATCAGTTGGGACTCACTGGCTGTGCTGGAGTAGCATCTAATAAACTATTGGCAAAATTAGTTTCTGGCATCTTTAAACCAAATCAGCAAACAGTTTTATTACCTGAAAGTTGTCAAGATCTCATTCATAGTTTGAACCACATAAAGGAAATGCCTGGTAAGATAAATATACCTGAAAAGTATATGTTGGTTTTATTCATTTATTTTTAAAATTATATACAGTATAATTAATTCTTGACTTGTGCACTTCACTCTTAGAGGAAACCTCCCACCCCCAACTTTTCTTTTCTGTAGCAAATCTATATTAGCAAATATGCAAAAGTACTTCTCTGGTATAGTTATATAACAAAAGTTTGTATAGTTACATATAAAATTTATAACCTGGAAACATAAGACCCTTTGTTTCTTGTCCCTGCCTTATACTTTTATTCTGTATGTTGTATCTAGACAAGGGAGTTTATAATTTACTAATTCTGTTTTGGGATTATATATAAAAAGATTAAGGCTTCAGTGGATTTACAAACCCTTAGGCCAAGTTTCTTATTTTAAAAATGAAGAAACAAATTTCCTTGGAGTCAATGACCTCTTTATATCATAGTGCAAGTTTTTATCTTTAAAGATCAAATACCTAAGTTTTTATAGACCACCAGTAATGATTATGTTAAACTTTATTTCTTGCATTGCTGGGGAGTAAGATGTTATAAAAGAATTCTAACAAAGTGAATTTTTAAGGTAACTGAAAGTTAACCGTTTAGATGTCATAAATTCACATTTTAAACCATGTTTGTGTGATTCCAAAATGTATTCCAAAATGACAGTTGCCTTTTTGGATGACACTGGGTCAGTATTCTAAAGAAAAGTGTCAAGTTGTAATAATTGAGGATTGTATACCTATGTAAAGCATTCCTACTTGGCTTTACTTTTGACTTCTTGTACTTTTTTAAACAGACTTCCTGTTTTCTCTCTCATTTCCAATTGCCAGCCTTTTTGATTTTTGCTGTGAAAATATCTGTTATTCCATTTTAATAATCCCCCTACACTCACACATCTCCCATAATTTACTGATTTTAGCTTACAAGGAAACCAGATAACTACAGATCTTTTTTTCCCCTGAATGAAAGAAATGAAGAGGCATTAATGGCCTGAGTATTTCTCCTGTGAATAGAATATGACTGAGTTTTAGTGCAAGAATTTTGTGATTGGAGTTTTGCTAGTAAGAAAATTTTACTTGTTTGCTTTCTGGCCCTTAGTTTTGTTCCTTATGGTAAGTATTGCTAGATATGACTTATGGATAAATACATGTTGTATATAGGAATCAAGTCAACTAATGAGCACATGTTAATACTTTAGTTTTAATTGCTCTAGTTACAGTGTTTTTTTAAGTATATATATGAGTAATCACCGTGATTCCCAAATACTTCTTCAGTGTTACATAATGTGTTAAAAATTTCATTTAATCAAGACAGCATTTATTGCTGTGAAGACTTCTAAGAGGTACATAAAACTCAGGCCCTGAATGGAAGAACAGCCATAATTTGCAATAAGAATTTAACCTTAGCGGGATATTAATTATGGAATTTAGGGATATAGTTGATATATTTATACTATTTTAATTGACTTTATTTTCAGAAGAAAGCTGTTGTAACATGTATGTGTTCCTTTTTGTTTAGGTATCGGCTATAAAACTGCTAAGCGGCTCGAAGCTCTGGGCATCCACAGTGTGCGTGATCTCCAAACATTTTCATCCAAAATATTGGAAAAGGAACTAGGAATTTCAGTTGCTCAACGTATCCAGAAACTCAGTTTTGGAGAGGACAACTCTCCTGTGATACCCTCTGGACCAGTTCAGGTACATAATGATGGTATTTATTTTAGTTGAGTACTGATTATCACATTATTTGAGGTTAAGATTTCTAGTTTTAGGACCTGGTTCTTAATATTATAGTTCGCTCATTATATGACACATGATCCCTTTCCTATGAAAAGGCTGGTTTGTTACATTAGATTAATAAATATTCATACTGAATCTTAAGCATTCATGTTTTTAAGTCTCAAGTTAGCTGTTTTGGTCGAATAAAACCTTAATAGACTATAATGCATACATGAAGCAAAATACAACTTAATTTTGATAGCCTGTAGTACATACATGAAGCAAAATACCTTAAACTTTTAAACATCTTGTTCTCAAAGTAGTCCAGTGATTTAGCAAATGGGAAAGCTGTCACCACCCAGATAACACTGATTACTGTTTTTCCTATGTGGCAAGCAGTATACTAAGCAGATGATACACATTAGTGCCTTCAATCTTTGCACAAACCTCTAGGATAAGTAGTACTATTGTTCATGCCTCCCTTTCCTTTCTTTTCTTTTTTTTTCAGATGAGGATACCATACTTTAGAAAAGTTAAGTAACTTGTCCAAAGACAAACTCAGATTCAAGTCCTAGGAGATTGGGGGCCCACTGTAGTAATATAACAAAGCTCGGAGTTGGTTCTAGTGCTTTATAATTACCTTGATTTCCATTGCACTTTCTACTGGAATACAGTAACCTTCAAATAAAGACTTAATATAAAAGTCAGCTAAAGGTCTCAAACTAAGCATAAGAGATAAATTAGTAAAGGACATGTTGAATATTTATTTGACAAATACACTATAATTGGATACACTTATTTGAGTTTACATTAATCTTTATTTATGCCTCTTTGGTAGTCTTTTAGTGAAGAAGATTCATTTAAAAAGTGTTCATCAGAAGTCGAAGTTAAAAAAAAGATTGAAGAACTACTTGCTAGTCTTTTGAACAGGTGATTTTCAATCTATTTTGCCAAATCATCCTATGTATTCATTCTATATACAGTACATGGAAAAAATATTTGATCTGTCTTAGAACTTAGAGATGAACTGGAAACTAAATAATATAAAAATGGAGGAGTCCGACCCGGTGGGGCTCCAGGAGCCAACCCACCCCCGCTGAAGTTGGTCCTCAGCATAAAAATAGGTCATTTCGCACTGGATTTCTTGGTATTATAAACTATGGTAAAGGTGCTCTTAATTAAATTTAATTCTTCTACTTTCATTGGTCTTCATTCTAGTAAACTATAGTTATACTGTGGATCTTAAGCTGCAGATAAGTTACTAAAAGGGCTTTCATGGGTATCTTTTTTTTTTCGCTATAGGGCACGTGCGCTCGCCAGGCAGACAGAGAGACAGAAAGCGAGAAATCACCCCCCAGGGGGCATGGTCACGCTGCAATCCCTTCTCCATTCTCCTCTTGGGATCTTGGGCACACACGCACACGCGCCCGGCGTGAGTTTTAAGCCACCAGGTCTAGGACTTGAAATGCAGTTGACTACGTGGGAGTCCAGCGACATAGCCATTACGCTAACTGCTGGTTCCCATGGGTATCTTTAATATCCCTAGACTGTACTGTTGGCCATGTGGGATCCAGCACTCTAACCGCCACACCACCTGCTCTCCCAGGAGAAAGAAATTTTAATTTTTCTGTGGCAGTTGCAAATACCTCAACCTAATAATTACTTGCTTTTTACTAAGACGAAAAAATTGCAGAGAGAAATATTTATGTCACATTGCTAAAACTCCTTGTTAGAACAGATTGTTAAGGATATAAAATTATTTAAACGACAGAGGAAGCAGAAGAGCTCTTATATTTTTCCTTGCCTCAGACCGTGTGTAGGAAAATGGAGTCAAACAGAGGAACTGCTAAATGGGGTTGTATGTTAGTATGAATAATTGCAAATGTGTGTAAGGCTTTTGATTTATAAGTACATGAAAAGTATCAGCCGAGATTTTGATTATATAAATAGCATTGCAAACTGAACAGGAGATGTAGCTTCATAATGCTTCTTAGCAGCCAGCAGACATGTATTTATCATATCACACCGAAGAGTGTTGTCTCTTTTCCCCCTTTGCTGTTCATTCTCCTTTTGTATTTGGAAATTACTTAAATTGAGATGTTAGGGAATTAACAGTTTAACGTAGCTGTGCTTTTAGGAGAGCTAACTGAGTCTAGAGAAAAGGATTTTTAGATGACTATGTGTCAGAAAAATGATCAAATGAAATTGCCCATCACTTTGCTATCAAATGCAGTGTGGTTCTCATGCCTTGAGCAGAGCCATGAGCTCTTTATTGACTGTGTGCACCAGGGGCTGGCTGTTTGAGCCCCTCCACCAGGGGTACGGTCCAGCCTGGGCCTGCCAGTGTGCTAGTGAAATTGGGCCTGCCCTTGGAAACAGCAATAGTGGAAAGTAACTATGAAGAGTGTAAGTTTTACAGGTTCTTTTATTTGAAGAATCAACCCAGAAATGAGACTAGTTATTTTAAACCTGTGGAATACCAGGTATTAATCATGTATTTGTATCTCTGCTTTTCATGCCCTTGCCCCCACATTATGGCCTCCTTATTTTAGTGACTGAGGCATATCATTCTAGGTGATTGCAAAAGTATAATTATGTGTGTGTGAGTTCGTATATAATTATTTACTTTTTTCTTCTAGAATATATGATGTTTAATACTATAGGTACATAAGAAGTGTAAAACCATATGATATTTTTAATCCAACCTCTAGGTATTAGTCAAAGATTTCTTGGCATATAACCTTTTTCTAGTGTGTCTTAAATAGCAGATCACTTTCCGAACTGCAGAATTAATAGAACAAGTTTAAATTTAATATAAATACAAATTTATTTAATATAGTTTTTCTAATTCAGAATCTTCTATTTTGAGTATGGTTAACAATGTATAATATTTGTACTTTGTGTTTGTGATTTGGTTTTATGTGCATTGCCATGAATACAAAAAGGAAAAATTATCCTTTAATGGCATTTTTTTGGTCAGTAATTAGGTTTTTTCCCTAGGTTTTTTTCACAATTATTATTACTTTTCTACATATTTTTATTTATCCATTCAGTTATTTTAATTTGACCAGAGAAGGACACAGAAAGAAAGAGAGGGAAAGTGAGAAAGCAAGCCAGCCACCAGGTCCTGGTCTTGAACCCTGGTCAGCCATGTGGGAGTGTTCAGACCTCAGTCACCAGGCCACCTCCTGGCTCCCAGTAATTAGATATTTTACTCTTTTATTTTTTTTTAAGAGTTTTTTGCCTTAGGGTGCATGCACTTGCTGGAGAGATACAGAGACAGTGAGAGAGAAAGTGAGAAGTCACCCCCCAGGAGGGATGGCCATGCCACAGTCCCTTCTCCATTCCCCTCCCATGACGCTGGGCACACATCTGTGGCTGGCATGATTTTCAAGCCTCACTGTGGTTGCCTATGTGGGAGTCCAGCAATGTAACCGCTACTCCATCTGCTTGTCCTAGATTTTTTTACTTTTAAAGTGATTTTTTCCTATCACTAAAACTTAAAAAATTTTTGAAAAAAATGTTTTCATGATAGAGCACGTGAGCAGGCAAATGAGAGTGAGAAGGGAATCCCCTCAGTAGACTCTGATCACACTTTGATTCTCTTCCTACAATCTTCCAACCTGTTGGGTCTTGAGCACTTATGCATGTGTCCACCATGGTTCAGGTGGACTAGGCTGGGGAGTCACACTGCAGTTGCCATATGGGATCTGGCTTCTCTTGAGCAGCATGTCACTGCTGCGCTGTGCTGCCAGCCTATTAAAACTTGTTTCAACACCAAAATCCTTTAGATGGGACTCTTTAAAATGGATGCTCATGGGACCAGCAGATGGCATACTGGTTATGTTGCTGGACTCCCACATAACTGACCACAGTTCAAGTCCTGAACCCAGTGACTTGAAATTCACACCGGGCACGTGTGCGTGTGTGCCGAAAATCCCAAGAGGAGAATGGAGGAGAAGGGATTGCTGTGCAACTACCCACCTGGGCAGGGGTGATTTTTTTGCTTTCTGTCTCTCTGGCAAGCACATGTGCCCTGTAGCAAAAATCTCTCCCTAAAAAAAGACTGCATGCTCATTTCTGGTTATCTCCCCTGGGGTGTGATTTTTTTTTTTTTTTTTTGGCTTTCTGACTCTTTGGCAAGCACACATGCCCTATAACAAAAATATCTCTCTAAAAAACCCTGGATGCTTATTTTATCGTAATTTCTAATATAATAGTTGTACATCTTTGTGAGATACAGGTGTTACTTTTATGTTTTGTATTATAAAACTGCAATCTTATTACTTTTTTTGAGAGGTTTTTGCTATAGGGCACTTGCGCTCGCCAGAAAGACAGAAAGAGACAGAGAGACAGAACACGAGAAATCACCCCCTGGGGGGAATGGCCACACTGCAATCCCTTCTCCATTCTCCTCTCAGGATCTTGGGCGTGCATGCACATGCGCCCAGCGTGAGTTTAAGCCACCGGGTCCAGGACTTGAACCACGTTTGACTACATGAGAGTCCAGCGACTTAGCCATTATGTCAACTGCTGGCCCCATAAAACTGCAATCTTAAATAAAGATTTTACATAAAGTATATACCTGAACTTTGTGGTCTATTTATTTAGGGCCCCTTATTGCTTACTATGTAGTTATCTGCTGTATGTGTACTTGTTATAGTTACCAAATCTGTTACTATTTGATAAGTGAGGTGTTGTACCATTTACGTAACAGTTTTTCTAATTGCTCCATTTTGCTTTACTTTTAGAGTATGCCAAGATGGAAGGAAGCCTCATACAGTAAGATTAATAATCCGTCGGTATTCATCTGAGAAGCACTATAGTCGTGAGAGTCGGCAATGCCCTATTCCATCTCATGTAATTCAGAAGTTAGGGACAGGTATACACTAGTTTTCTAAGACTCTAAGTAGGTTAAACTAAAACAAAAAACAAAAGACTTTACATTAGAAATATTAGAAATATGCTCCAAAAATGGCAGCTCTTCATAGGGACTTAGCATACTAAATACTTTGATTTTATCAGGAACTTTCACTAGAAAACTGTTGTTTTCGAACAGATAATAGAAGCATAGACTTAGCTAAGAATGTTTCCTAAGTTCAAAGAGAACAAAACTATGATAACTATGAAGCATGAGATAACTTCTTTAGTAGTGTTTACATTGTTATTTTTTGGCTATTATGACAAAGGGTGCTATGAACATTCATGCAGGTCATTGGGTGGATATATGTTTTTATTTTTTGTAAGTGATTTCAGGGAGTGGAATTATTGGATATTTGGTAGAATGAATTGTTTAAGAAACTGCCAAGTTTTTTTCTGAAGTGAGTGTAACAATTTACAGTCTCACCAACAATGTATAAGGGTTCCACTTTTTTCATATCCTTATCAACATATAGTATTGTCAGTTTTTGAGTATAGTTGATCTAGTGATATGGAGTAGAATGTCATAGTTGTTTTTCTTTTTGTATATGGTGCTTTTGGTGTTAATATCTCAAAGTTCTTTGCCTAACTCAAAAATCACCTGTATTTTCTTGCAGATGTTTTATAGTTTTAAGTTTATGCTTAGGTCTCTTTTGAGTTGATTATTTATGTGTAGTGGAAGGTAAGGGTCTTAGTTTATTCATTGTGAGGATATTCAGGCAGCATTCATTGAAAAGACTGTTCTTTACCTATTGAATTGCCATGACAACTTTATCAAAATTTATGTTAAGTATTTGTTGATTTCCCAAACTTTTTTGTGTTGTTGACTTCTAACTTAATTTCATATTGATCAGAGAACATATTTTGGGTAATCTCAGCCCTTTTAAATTTATTGAATCATATTTTATTGTTTAGTCTCTGGTCTGCCCTATAGAATGTTCTATTTGTTCTTGAAAAAGAAGACTTGAGCAACAGTATCAAACAACTCAACTAAAATTTATGGAATACTCTACCAAAAAGTACCTCTGAGTGACAGTTTGAGCATATAATTCTTGATAGTGTTTTTCTTTCCTTACTTTGAATATATCGTTCCACTGTCTCTTGGTTTCTGTTATTTCTGATGAATTAGCTATTAGTAGTTTTATCAGTCTCCTTTTAGTCAGGAGACTAACCACAGAAGAATTTGAACAGAGAAAGTATCAAATTATTAAACTATGCTAGGGAAATGACTATAAAGATATAGAGAGAACTCTAAGGGATATCCTAGGATTGAGGAAAAGTACCCATGGAGGGACAAATTTAGAAAGGGGAATCTTTTTCCTCCATGGAAAAGAAAGGTTGCAGAACTCTGAGTGGTGGAGAAATCCAGTGAGTTACCTAGCCTGGAAGTGATCCATAGTTGCTGAGCAGAAAGAAAACTACCCTCTGGTCTACAGATGAGCTGAGACTGGTGAACTGGCATGTGGAAGGAATCAGATGTTGGGATCTTGCCCACTTGTCAGGGTAGCACATGAGCAGGGCTGTATAGTATCCATATTGGGAAGCTTCTGGAAACAACTCTTCAGAATGCACGCAACCTGAGGCTGGTGGGTAGTAGTACTGAATGAATCTGCGTTTTGCTTCTAGCACAAAGGTGTACCACAGGACACGATGCCTGTATAGGGAGGCTAAGGGAATGTTTTCTAGAGGTAGACAAGTCAGGGTTGTTGGGTGGGCAAGCAGAGGGAGTTGAAGTGCTGTTTATAGCACTGGACTACAATGTGCAGTATTTGAGTTGGTAAGGGCGTAGTAAATTGGTCTCTTGGCCTGGGTGGGACTTGAGGCTGCTAAGGGATTGTGCATTTGTGTGATGTGGCAGAGCACTGCTGGATGTCCTTACGCATATGCACTGAAAACAGATCATGCACAGAAGAAAAAAAAAGTAAATGGCAGTATATTGGAACCAGGAAGAGAGGCCACCTTCCTATTTCAGTGCTCCTCCAGTGCTCTCTACTGACAAAACTTAACATTGTGTCACGTAACAAAAAGCTTAGAAAGTCTTTCTTATTATTGCAGAGCAGGTACTAAATGGTGAATTTGGAGCTGAGAGACAATAATATAATCATATTGTTCTCTTTTATGTAATGAGTCGTTTATCTTTCTGTCATCTTTCAGCAGCTTATGACATGTCTAAGTGGAGTCTCTTTATGTTTATCATACCTGGGTTCCACTGAGCTGTTTGATTGTATAGATTTATTATTATTAAGTGTATTAAATATATATATATTTATACATTATTAAGTTTATATATGTAATACACTTATAAATGTATTATTATTAAGTGTATATATGTAGTAATACATATATAAGTGTATATATATTAAACGTATATATGTATAATATATATATATTAATTTTCCCCCCAATTTGCTAGAGGGCACATGTACTTGCTAGAGAAAGAAAAAGGGAGAGAGAGAGCACTTCCTCCCCCTCAATGGTGCACGGTCATATCACAATCCCTTTTCCTCCATTTCTTCTTCTGAAATTTTGTGCATATACACATATATCCCTGGTGTGTCTTTCAAGCTGTGGATCTGGGACTCAAACTGCAGTTGGCTATGTTGGATCCAACTGCCTTAATCATTACATTACCACCTGCTCTAGACTCGTGTTTTTTAAACATGAAATTTGGGAAACTTTTGGCTCTTATTTTTTTAAATATTCTTTCCTTTCCTCCTATCCTTTCCTTCTAAGACAACTATTGTACCTATGTTGGTGTGCTTGATAATGTCACATAGGTTTGGGTATGTGACTTTTTTTTTCTTTTTGAATGTCTCTGGGCTTAATCTACGAAATCTACTTTAGTGTTGTGTAGGCATTTGTTTCTCTGCTCAGTGTTTTCTTTATTTTGATTTTGGTTTTTTTGAGTTTTTTTTTTTTCCCCTTAGGGTGTAGGCATTTACCAGAGAGAGAGAAAGAGACAGTGAGAGTGTACATGAGAAATCACCTCCCAGGAGAGATGGCCATGCATAGTCCCTTCTCCTCCCTTCTCCTGGAATCTTGGGCATGCACACACACACACCTCATAAAATTTGTAAGCAGCTAGGTCTGGAACTTGAATAGCAGTTAGCCTTGTGGAAGTCCAGCAACATAACCGCTACACCATTTGCTGTGCCCTGCTCAGTGGTTTCTTAATTTAAATTAAAATGCTTAATTTGTTTTCCTAGGAAATTACCCCTGTGTCTGTGTAGGTTAGTGGCTATGCAATGATTGGTTAAAGGTTTTGCTCAAACACGAGAGCCAAACCTTCTACTCTGTGTCAGTATATAGGTGTACAGGTCGGAGAACACTCTAAAATTTAGGTTGGGCCCAGCCATGGTGGCACATACTGGTAAGGCAATGTGCTCTACAGGCTGGGACCAATGGATTCCCTGGGTTAATTTCCAACCTAAAGGCTGGGAGCTGTGAAGTGTGCTTGTAATCTCTGTGACTCAGGAGGCTAAGGCAGGAGGATTTTGAGTTCAAGAGCTAGACAGAGAACATAGCCAGACATTGTCTACAAAAGAGGTGGGTGTGGTGATGGACACCTATACTCCCAGCTGAAAGGCTGAGGCAGGAGGATTGTGACAGTGAGACCTTGCCTCTAACAAACAAACAAACATAAAGCCATTTTTTAAGTCTGTCTTGACTTTTTGTTTTCAGTTAAGTTCTTCTCTATCTCCTCTGGGTGTGCATGCAGTAATTTTAGTCAGGAATGTATGGAGAGCTTGAGTCCTCTCTGGCTCCTCTCAGTCAGTAGCATTGTAGGGTCATAAGGGAGCTTATCTGGTCCCTCTGTTATTCTTTCATTTCTAGATTCCCTGCTTAAATTTCTGACTGGTACACTGATATTTTATTCACTTCAGCCTTGACTGTAACTTCAGGCTAGCAGAGCTGTGGAATTTCCCCTTTAGCTTCCTACTCAGTTTGCTCACTTTGAAAGGCAGCACTGTTGAATTGGGCTTTTTCTATTTGCCCACATCGAGTCTATCTTCTCTGGCAGTGGAGCTGCTGGCTTTCTCAGCTAGCCTCACGCTGGTAGGACAATTTTATCAGCTGTGTAAAGAGGTATGCACACAGTCCTGGCTAATAAGGCTGCTGCCTGTCTCGTTTTTACCTAAGTTCCAGAAGCTCAGGGCTTCTCAGTTTGCTTGTCTTTAGTTCATTTCCAGTTCTCAAAATGGCTTTTTCTGACAATTCTGTTCAGTTTTATAGTTGTTTGGGGGAGAGATGGTTTTATATCTCTCTACCATAGTCAGATGTCCCATATTTCATTTTTTTCTTTTTTTTTTTTTTGAGAGGTTTTTGCTATAGGGCGCGCGCGCTCACCAGACAGACAGAGAGAGACAGAGAGACAGAAAGCGAGAAATCACCCCCCAGGGGGAATGGCCACACCGCAATCCCTTCTCCTCCGTTCTCCTCTCGGGATCTTGGGCATGCACGCACACGTGCCTGGAGTGAGTTTAAGCCACTGGGTCCGGGACTTGAACCGCGGTCAACTACGTGGGAGTCCAGCGACATAGCCATTATGCTAACTGCTGGTCCCCAGATGTCCCATATTTCAAATCTTTTGAAAACTTTAATTCATTTGGCATTTAATGTTAGTGTTGAAATTTAATATAATGTCAAGATGCCCAGTGATACCTATTTAAGATTTTAATTTCTTAATGTAAGCAATATATCTTAAACTCTTAATACTAATTATGATATAATGTGTTTCTATGTTGACTTCTTAAACATTTTATATAGGAAATTGTGATGTGATGACCCCTATGGTTGATATACTTATGAAACTCTTTCGAAATATGGTGAACGTGAAGATGCCATTTCATCTTACCCTTCTAAGTGTGTGTTTTTGCAACCTTAAAGCACTACATACTGTTAAGAAAGGGCCAATGGATTATTATTTATCACCGTCACTATCAGCAATTTCACATTCTGAGCAGCACAGTTCTGTAAGTACACTTCTATTAGATTTGTGTGGTTAAGTTATAAATCTAAGTTTGTGTTTAACTGATGTAATTCAGAGATGTTTTGGGGGACATTATTTAGTTGATTTATTTACTTTATAATGCCTATCATATTATAGTTGCTGACCTTAAAATGTACTGTGATATTATTTAAATAACTTTTGTTTATAGTACCTGTCATATTGTGGCTTCTGACGTAAATATGGTCTAAGAAGAAAGCATAGTTATCACTGGATAAAAGAGAAAACCATTATGAAGGTTTCCAACTTTGAAAGTATTAACACATTTTATAACAATATATAGGAATGTGCATAATTTTTCATTATGAGAATTACCTCATAAATAGGAAGTATTTTCAATGACTGGAAATCATCTTTTTGCCTGTCTGTTTATTACATAAGCTAAGAATCCTTTTTCCACATTTTTTATTAAAATATTTAAATTTTCTTGGTTTAGAAATTACTTTGAGCTATGATAACAATATTGACTGAATTGACTACTTATTTTTATTAAAGCTGTGGCAGTAGAGAGGCAGAGGACAGATACATTTTGAAATGTCTAAAACAGAATCCCTATCAAGTCAAACCTATAAAGCAAACCTATAAACCTATAAAACAAGCCCTATAAAGCAAACCCCATAAACATGGGTAGCTTTGAAAATAAAATGATCTTTTATCAAATTTTCAATGCATATAATTAATTTGAAAATTTTTTTATCATTTAATAAGTCAGCACAATTTTAGTAATATTTGCATTTCCATGTAGGTTTAAAATGACAATAGAACAGTGTTATGGAAATAGTGAATTAATGCTGTATTCAAATTACTTTTTTCTGTGATCCTTTTTATTTCATTTATTAGTCATTTATTTCATTTATTATTTACTTTTTATGTTTTAACAAAGCTGAATGAACATTAAATGTCCCTAATTTACAGTAGAAATAGCGAAGTAAATGTAAGTGAAAGTACCTTTTATGCATTTGGCACAAAGTAGGTATTCGATAAATATAATGACCTGAGTCTCTGACTCTTCACAGTTTTTTGAAGTTACTATTGTGTAAGTGTTTACTGAGTTGTATTTGACTGTGTATACATTTTTATGCTGCTTACTACTTCAAGGCAAATTCAATTGGAAAACTTTATAGAGGAAAAATTATGTCAATTAGAATTAAAGCTGTTTTTCAAATTATTTTATGTAAATGTAAAATAGTACTATAGCTTAGTAATGATGTTGGATTTTTGCCATAGAAATATTTTCTTCTTTCTGTTAAATGTTACCCTTTAGAATAGTAATTTTAGGGGGACCAGCAGGTGGTGTGGTGGTTAAGGAGCTGGACACTCCCACATGGCTGACCATCATTTGAGTCCCAGACTTGGTGGCTTCCTTTGTTTCGCTCTCTCTCTTTCTCTGTGTGTGTGTGTCTCTCTGATCAAATTAAAAATAATTTTAGTGAAACTAGCCTTTGATACTCTATGTAGGGTGTTTTTTTTTTAATATCTATAAGTGAATCACTTATTTTTTCCAAGAAGTTTGAATACAGGATTGTTAAGATCTTTTCAAGGCCTCCAAATAACATACTTACCTCTGGTTTCAGTTTTAGGTAGGAAGGAAACCTTTTCCTGGAATACTGAATCACTAGTGTCAGTAATTGTGATAGATTGATCTAGATTTTTTGAAACTGACCACAAAGGAAATTGTTGAGTTGGATAGAAACATGTCAAATAATAGCTACAAGCACATTTCAGCAGTATGGATATTTAAAAGATAGCAAATATCTAAATTGTTTTGTTCCTCTTCTATTTTAGGAAATGAAAGACACTTCTATGGAAGATTTTTCCAAAGACAAAGACACAAACTGGAATTTTCTACCAAGTGGAAGATTTGAAAGTACAAGAACTGTAAAGTCTCCATTGGACACTACAAGTTTCTCTAAGGAAAAAGACATTAATGAGTTCCCACTGTATTCACTTCCTGAGGGTGTTGACCAAGAAGTCTTCAAGCAACTTCCAGTAGATATTCAAGAAGAAATCCTTTCTGGAAAATCTAGAGAAAAATTTCAAGGGAAGGGAAGTTTTAGTTGTCCATCACACTCCTCTAGAGGAATATTATCTTTCTTTTCTCCAAAACGAATGCAAAATACTCCCTTAAATTCTAGAGATAATTTTTCCAGTAGCAAACAGGAATCCTCTGTATCTCCTTGTGAACCAGGAACATCAAGTTTAAATAGCAGTAGTTCCTCTTATTTGTCTAGCCAAAAGGATTATTTATGTTGTTTTGATAATAGATTAAAAGATGAGCAAAAGAGTCAAGAGCCTAAAGGATCTCAAGGACTTAACTTCTCAAATACAAACCCTGCTGTATCTGTTTCCCATTCTTTTCCACATTTGCAGAATGAGAAGCTTTTCTCCAAAAACTGCACCACAGATAGCTATAAGATAACAATAGCAACAGCCTCTCATCATGAAGGACTTAGAGAAAATAGAGAGCAAGATTTTAATCATGAGAAAATTACTTTTCCTTCTGACATAGATCCACAGGTTTTCTATGAACTACCAGAAGATGTACAAAAAGAACTGATGGCTGAGTGGAAGAGAACAGGATCCTGCATTGTACATAAATAAGCATGTTCACAAAAAGTCTGAAAAGCAAGAGAAGTACCCTTGTTTTCACATTAGAAGTTTATTAAGCTCTTCTAAACTAAACACTAGTAGTTACTCAATAATACAGAAATTCAGTGTAAGTTGTTGCAGATAAATCAAGAATGGTTATGGAATCAAGAATGGTTATGGTATGTAAATTCTGGCACAATGCATAAAAATATAACAGGAATTATGTAAAATATTATCTTTCTCATATTTATAAACCTATTTTATATTGCTTTTCAATAAAAAAAAATCATGGTCAGCATCTAGTACATTTTCCATAAATTGGGAGGGAGATATATATATATTCCTGCCAATAAAAATAGATTCTAATGAACAGGTTTTTTCCTGTGAAATATGGAATGTCTCAAGACATGTATCCTACTAGGAAATATTACTGCCAAATAGGAAAGCCTACTACCAATCATCCTATTAAAAATGTAGATACCTTTGATTAAAGTACTACATACTATTTAGTTATTTGACTTTTAAAATACCAAAGCAATACGTACTCAGTGAATGCCTCTTGGAATACCTGTGTGCCCAGCTAAAAGAGGGCATTCAGTAAAAACATTGAATTAATGAATTGTATAGCCAGGACTAGGGTGAAGATTTGGGGATGGGAGGAATGTACTGGCTCATTGGAAAAGTCATGATGTATTTTTCTGTTTTTCTATCCAAAAATGTGTCATGACTTTTCTGACAACCCAATATATGTTGTAAAGAACACTTATAGAAGGAACTCTTCATATAAATAAGTTAAGAGGAAGATGGAAACTAGAAATGCAAGGTCATGAGCCTGTATGAATGATAGGTAATAGAAGGCCATTTCTGATATTTATACATCTTCCCCATGTGGGAATGAGATTAAGGATGTCATACATAAGTGCACGTCATTATTAAATCAATTGGTATTCTCTTGCTCCCTTGTTATTTCCTTCCCCTTTTGCCTGTCATATAAGAATTGAGGGCATTGGGGCTGGCAGGTGGTGTGATGGTGAAGCGCTGGACTCCCATGTGGCCAGCCACAGTTCAAGTCCCAAAACTGGTTGCTTGCTTTCTCACTCTCTCTGTCTGTCTCTCTCTGGTCAAAATTGAAAAATAATGATGATAAATAAAACATTTAAAAAAAAAAAAGAATTGAGGGCATCTTATAATTTATAAGGTATAGAGGATGTTTTTAGAGCATATCAAAGTATTCCTCAGCACTGATTTGGGGGAGTCCTGGTCTGAAATTTGTACATTTTACAAATATATTTTTAAGACACATTTTACACAATTGTAAATAAAGAATAGCTTAAAAATACTTTCTTCTGGGTCAGAAGTTTTAACATAGTTTTAGATACCTTGGAATTTGAAAATTTCTTAACCATCAAGAAATGTTAACAGGTAGTTTGGTATTAAAAACAGTAATTTGGAGCAAGAACATAAGTTTATATAAATATTTCTCTGGATTAATGACTACAGTGTTCTCTACATGTATTCTAGTAAGGTAGTTAAATTAGTAAAAGGAGTAGGTCACTTCCCTTATAAAAAAATTAATTTTGTAAAGATTTCTTATAATTATTTCAGGAACATGGTTAGCTAGAAAAAATTTAGGAATGAAATGGTTAAAAAAGTGATTGATTTGAGCCAGTTTTAAAAGAGAAGATGGCCAGCTCCATGGTGCAACAGTAATAAATTGCTCAAAAAGAGCTGGATCCCTCCCACATGGTCACCATGGTTCATACGGGGCCCAGTAGTCCTGAAAACGTCAAGGACATGAGCAAATGCCCAGATCTGACTGGCAAGAGAACTGGAGGAAGGAGAGGATGGCATGACCAGTTCCTGTGAGAGTGCTCCTCTCTTCCTCTTCCTTGTTTCACTCTCTCACATGTGCATTCTCTATTATGAGTAAAGGAAGGAAATCTTTAACAAGAGAATAGGAATAGTTAAAAACACTTTCTGGGGTGAGAATGCAGGGGTTATGTTAGAATTCTGCTACTTATTTTGAGGCCTGAAGTTAGTCCTTTAACATCGTTGGCCCTCAGAATAAACGTTTTAGGCTATATTTCATCTGCTTTTTAAGAGTATCTTTGTTTTTGGTGTTCTTCAGACTTACTATAAGCTTTGAGAATGTGCGTTTAATTTTATTCTTTTTGGTATATGCTTGACTTCTGTATCTTTTGTTAGTTCTGTAAAATTCTCAGCCACGAGCTCTTTAAATATTGCTCCTCTGTTCTTCTAGCCTTCCGATTTTATAGGCTTTCCTGCTCTGTCTTTCACTTCTCAATCTCATATTTTCATCCTTTTCTCTTTGCTGCATTTTGGGTAATTCCTTTAGCTCTATCTTGTGTACTAATCTATCAGTAGTATCTCATCTCCTATTTTAAAACATTAATGATGAGGGGTCAGCAGATGGTGTGGTGGTTATGGTACTAGACTCCCACATGGCTGACTATGGTTCAAGCCCCAGAGCTGGAAGCTTAAAACATGCTGGGTGTGTGTGTGCGTGCGTGCCCAAAATCCCTAGAGAAGAGTGGAGAAGGCGTTGCTGTGTGGCCATCCCCTCTGGAGGAGTGATTTCTCACCTCTGGTGAATGCATGCATCTATAGCAAAAGTCTCTCCCACCCTCCCCCAAAAATGGATGGCATGATGGTTACATCACTGGACTTCCATATAGTTGATTCCAGTTCGAGACTTGGACCTGGAGACTTAAAACTCACACTGGGCGCATGTGCATGCATGCCCAAAATCCCAAGAGGAGAATGGAGGAGAAGGGATTGCAGCATGGCCGTCCCCCCTGGGCGGGGGTGATTTCTCACTTTCTATCTCTATCTCTGTGCCTTTGGTGGGCATACATGTCCTAAAGCAAAAATCTCTCAAGAAAAAATGATTTAAATTTTAATAATTATATTTTTATTTGATTTTTTAGGGCTTTTGCCTTAGGGCATGTGCGCTCACTGGAAAAAGAAACACAGTGAGAAGGAAAGTGAGAACTCACCGCACAGGGAGGATTGCCATACTGCAATCCCTTCTCCATTATCTTCCCAGAATCTTGGGCATATATGCACACATGCCTCGTGATTTTCAAGCCACCTGGTCTGAGACTAGAATCACAATCAGCCATGTGGGAGTCCAGTGATGTAACCATTAAAATATCTGTTTCCATGATTTTTTTTCAATCTTCCTGTTTATAAGAGTCTCTTACAAATCCATATCTAATTTTAAAAACTCAGATGTTTGATATTATATTTCTGATCATTTCAGTATTTTGTCATTATAAATATAATTTATGGTTATGACGTATACCATTATGGCTTATTTCTTTGAGTATGTGGGGTATTTTTTTATTTTTTATTTTTTTATTTTTTTTGCAATTGGGTTCATTATCTCACCCAAGAGAGACGGAGAAGGAAAGTGAGAAATCACCCTGGGAGGGATTATTATGCCACAATATCTTCTCCATTCTCCTTGGAATTTGGGGCATGTGTGCACATGCACCAGGCCTCTGAGTCTGGGATTCAAACCTTGCAATTGACCATGTGGGATCCAGCTGCCTTAACCACCATGCCACCTGCTAGCCCAAGTTTGTGGTTTAGTTTAATCTGTGGGAAGACAAGAGTCCTAAATTGTGGATGCTTCCCTTCAGAAGTGATTGCATCTGTGGCTTCTCTAAGTGAGGTAGGACAACCCCCTTGGCACCACTTAAGTCCCTTCAAGGATTCTGATGGAATGCCTTTATCTTATAATTTTAGTCCCTATACCTTGCTGGTTGGCATCGTAAGGTTTTGTCATTAGTCAGTGACAGGCTATCAGCATTTGCCTTCAGGGCAAAAAACACCTTTTTTTTTTCTTTTTTTTTGAGAGGTTTTTGCTATAGGGTGCGTTCGCTCGCCAGAAAGACAGAGAGAGACAGAGAGACAGAAAGCGAG